ACCATGCGTCCAGTCTTAGGGGACAAAGGGGGGGCAGTGCTGACAGTGGAGACTGCTGGCCTCGAACCGGGACGCAGCACGCAGTGCGGAGGGGGGACGCGCCCGCCATGCCAGGACTCCTTCAAGTCGGTCTGGCTCCTCCGGATTCAAAGACTGGCCACGGCCCGCCCGCAGTCTCACCAGGCGGAGGCTGAGGCGGGAGGATCACAACTATCCTGAGCAACTTGGCAAGCTCTTGTCTCCAAAAGTTTAAGACGACGGGGCTGCAGCTCAGTGCAAAGGCCCTGGGTTCAATCCTCAGTACTGAGAAAAAAGAAATCCAACATGACGGCGGCCTTCACCCTGCTGGTGGAGGGTTTGCTGCCCAGTTCAAGGCCTGAACTCCTGGGGGAGCCGTGCCCCCAAAGGGGTGGTGCTAGAGGTGGGGCTCAGGGTCACAGTGGCACTCACTGGGGCTCCAAACAGTGACAGCAGCACTGCCCTCTCCCCTGCGATCACCTCCACTGCCCTGGCCCTCGGTGAGCAGGAAGGGGCCCCACAGGGCCTGCCTCAGTGCACACAGGTTCCTGAGCTCTGCCTCCAGCACGGGGAGACAGGAGCTCTGACGTTTGAGCCGCACAGTCCCTGCGGTTTGGTTAGAGCAGTCTGAACGTGAGAGCCCAGAGCACAGGGAACAGCATTTCCCCAGGGGGATCTGCATATGCTAAAGCCCAGAGGACCAGGAAGATGCCTGCAGAGCAGACAGCATCCCGCAGGCCCTGGGAGCTGAGTGCTGAGCTCTCTGGGTCCCTCTGGGTGCACATAGCCCCTCCATCTCCCTCCTGCCTCAGCCCCATCTTTACAGGACCCAGTGACCAACCACAAGCCCAGGGGCAGACCTGTAGTTCCGTGTCCTGGAGGTCAGCTTTCTGCTGTGGGTTGCTTGGGGCTGAGGTCAAGAGTGGTGGAAGCCCTGCAGACAACGGGCCCCACTGCACGCAGTCCCAGAGGCCGCTGGCCCCTGGCTGTAGGCCCCTCCTCCCGGCAGCGTGGGTGCAGCAACCTGAGATCCCTCGGCCTTCCATGCCCCAACCCGGGACCCGTGAGGATGTCGGTGCCCAGGTGACCCTGCTCCGTTCACCATCACCAACACCTCCCAGCCCCCTGGCTGGAGCTCACAGAACCACCGGAGGCAGAAATGTGGGCCGCGGTAGAAGCTCAGCCCACCTTTATTAAAAATGTTCACCAGATACAGGACCTCTTGTGGTGGGAACCATATATTTATCCCGTTTTCACTAGGCCACGTGATGAGTTATTCATTCAACAAACATTCATGGATCCCTGTGGGGGATGAGGTGTCACTTTGTAGGCCCAACCCCCTCTAACCTGCAATTTACAATAGCCGCCCTGGTATGCGAGAAGGAGGTAGAACGGGAATGCCTGTTCTCAGTGAGCCCTCACCCTCTGGAATCCATACTGTGAGCTGGCTTTGTTTTGCAGAAGTCTTGAGGAAGTGGCTGGCCACCCTTTGTGACACTAACAGCAGACAAATTAACAACATTCTTGAGCTAATGAATTTCTTCCTGGGCTAGAGAAGTTGTGAGAACTGGTTGTGATTATTTACTTCACTTAGATAGTTTTAGAATAAACATTGTAGTCTGTCACGTTGTAGCTTGCCACAAAGAATGCCTTTTCACTACTTAATTATCTGGGCTCTGTGAATTGATCGGGTTTACTATATATAAATCCTAAAATAAAGATTGTGCGTACAGTGCAGTGCAGTGCAGTGTAACGCGGTGCAGACAGCAAAGGTGTCTCTCCTGTCTTTCTTTTCCAAGCGCTGTACCCCCCGTGTCCCGACAAGGCGTGCGTGTTTACCTTGCCCGGAGTTCAGAGTGCTCTAGACACTCACGACAAGTGGCGCCCGAATTCAGGGACTCCGAAGGTCGCTTAGGAAGGTAAGTATAATTTTATTACGGGGAAATGGGACAATCTGCTTCCTCTCCTTTCTTAAAAATTCTTAAACATTTATTATCTATATATGGCATATCGCTCAGGTCAGCTGACTTGGATATGTGTATTGATACAATTAAAGAATATAATCCTTGGTTTCCAGATGAAGGAACTTTGGATGTAGAAGTATGGAGGAAGGCAAGGGTTAGTATAGAAAGGGCTATGCAACAGGAGGAAAAGATTCCTTTACGTTTTTGGGCTATTTGGTCGGTTGTGTACTCTTTATTAAAAGCTATGGAAGATGAACATATTGTAGAAAATCTTCAACTAGAAATTAAGCCAGTTATTCAGGAATTGCCCCTCACAGAGGAGGAGCAGAATGTAGTTCAAAATGACGCTATCGCTTTAAGTAGTGAAAAGGCGTCCAAACTAAAAGTAAAATCCACTACAGCCGACTCAGCTTTAGCTGCCGCAGCAATATCAAATTATGACAATCGCCCAATTTTACAGGCTATACAACATTTAACACAAGAGGTGAAACAACTCTCCGTTAAGCAAAACCCGCCTATAATTCCCTCTGCACCTCCTCCATCTAACCCTAATTGGAGTAAAGCCAAGCTAGCTTTGGCTGATCTACCAAAATTAGGGGATTCTGATGAGGAAAAGCCTGCCTTTGCTTTCCCTGTAATCAGGCCTCAGCCAATAGATGGAGAGGCAGTTCCCCCTAGATGGGAAGCATTTAATATGGATGATTTAGCAAAATTAAAAAAGGCTGTAACCCTTTATGGCCCTCAGGCTCATTACACTAGAGAATTAATAACATCAGTAGCAGATCAGTATGGTAATCTTGCTCCTTATGATTGGAAAGCCTTGGCCAAAATTCTTTTAAAGGAGCCAGAATATTTACAGTGGCACATGTGGTTTATGGAAGGTTGTGCGAAAAAGGCAAGACAAAAATGCTAATATAGTGATAGAAATGTTTTAAAAGATATTTTAAAAACTTTACCTCAATATTTTTCTCCGTTTGGACTTGTAATAGCACAGGATAAAATTCAAAAGGAAGAAGTTAGTCATTATTTGGGATATATTCTTACTAGACAAAAGGTGATTCCACAAAAAATGTCTATTAGGAGAGATAAGTTATCCACTTTAAATGATTTTCAAAAATTATTAGGGGATATTAATTGGCTTCGTCCCACACTAGGTATTCCTACCCATGCATTACAGCATTTGTTTGCTACTCTACAGGGCTCTTCAGATCCATCCAGCCCTCGTTCTTTAACAACAAAAGCCGAGCAAGAATTACAGTTTGTAGAACAACGAATTAAGGATGCATTTTTAATTAGGATTGATCCTAAATTGCCTCTAACTTTATATATTATTAATACTTTTCAATATCCCTCTGCAGTTTTAGGTCAAAATGCTATGCCAGTAGAATGGGTATTCACTAAAACTAAGCAATCTAAAAATGTTATGCCTTATATTGACATGGTTGCAGCTTTAATTATGAATGGTAGAGCTCGTTCTATAACTTTGATAGGAGAAGATATAAACAATATAGTTATCCCTTTAACTAAGGAACAATGGGAATATTTGTTGTCAATTACTGAAACCTTACAAATTGCTTTAGCAGATTTCATGGGAACTTTTTCATATCATTTTCCTAAAAGTAAATTATGGGATTTTTTTAGACGTCAACAATTTGTGGTTAATACCTTATTAGCTGTACAGCCAATTCCACAAGCTTTGACTATATTTACAGATGGATCTAAAAATAAAGCTGCATATTGGACTCAAAAATCTTACTGGGTACGTCAGACAAATTTTAACTCTGTACAACAAAATAAACTTTTTGCTATATTACAAGTGTTTTTAGATTTTCATAACCAACCTATTAATATTATAGCCGATTCGGCCTATTCTGTTGGAGTAGTGACAAATATCTATTCAGCTGTGTTATATTCTAATAAGCCTGCTTTATTGTCTTTATTTCAAAATTTACAAACACATGTTCAAAAAAAAAAATCATTCTTATTTTATTACTCATTTACGTTCTCATTCTCAGTTACCCGGACCATTAGTATCAGGTAACAATGCAGTGGATTCCTTAGTTATGTTCACCACACCCGTTAAAAAACATCAATTTAATCATGCAAATGCAGGACATTTGCATCTTAAATATAAGATACCTTTTACAAAAGCTAAACAGATTGTAAAAGCCTGCCCTATTTGTAGACCATTACATTTAAGAATTATTCCCGCAGGTGTCAACCCTCGAGGAACTCAACCTAATGAATTATGGCAAATGGATATTACACATGTACCTTCTTTTGGTCGGCTTTCTTATGTACATGTAGTTATTGATACCTATTCTTCATTTCTATGGGCTACTGCTCAACAGGGAGAATCCACTAAAAATGTTATTGTACATTTATTGGAGACTTTTGCAGTTATGGGAATTCCTTCTAAAATCAAAACAGATAATAGACCTGCTTATACTAGCAGAACATTTAAACAATTTTGTGATCTCCATAATATTATTCATATTACAGGGATTGAATATAACCCCCAGGGTCAAGCTATTGTTAAAAGAGCACATGACACTCTTAAGTTGCAAATTAAAAAATTAAAAAGGAGGAGTCAGGAGGATATTCAGATACCAATACTGTTTAAATTGCAAAACAGTCCAAAAACATTACTGCATCAAGCATTGTTTATTTTAAATTTTCTCAATTTACCACAAGGTGAAATATTAACAAGAGCTGAAAAACATTTTGAACAGCAACAACAGTCTTTTGTGATTAATGAACCTATTTGGACTAAAACAGCTCCAGAGGCTGAATGGGAGAGGGGCACATTGCTCTATAGGGGGAAAGGTTTTGGTTATATCTCCACAGAAAATGGAATTCAGCAGTGGGTCCCTGGACGATGGATCAGGACCCGCGTCTCCAGATCCTGTTCACCAGCCCCGGAGACAACTCCCCAAGGAACCGGAACCGTGCCTTCAGAAGCGAGCGCGAAACCAGCTAGAAGCTGAGGATGCTGAGTTTGTTCCTATCGCAGCCATGGCCAGATTACAGCTAAGAAAATCCCGCCGCTCACAGCGACCAAATTTAAATCCCCTCCCTACATGGGGACAATTAAAGAAATTGACCATAGAAGGGCAACGGCTTGTCCTTCAAGCAGGAAAGCCTTTAAACCCCGAAAACTTGTTTTTAGCTTTATGTGCCTTGCTCACCGTTGCATCGGGGACTGAGGTACCTCCGCATTCGTACTGGGCATATATTCCAAACCCCCCTTTATTAGAACCTGTAAAATGGGGAACTAGTGATATTTTACTTTATACCACACCTAGAGAAATTTTGTCAGCACCGTGGGCTGATTTAACCCCCCACAATCAAGATGATGGGACACTATTCAATTTTACTTATTATGGTAATCAAAGGCCTATTTGCATTGGGGAACCGCCTTGCATCCCTCTGGGATGGCAGTATTGGATTCAACATGGAATAAAAGCAGGCAACAAAAGGACAAGGCTTCAAGCCTTGGCTGCTCAAACCTTTAATGTTACCTGGAAAAATTTAACAGCACCTGATACAAATACATTTCCTGTATGCCCTGAATTCACTTATAAAAATATTTCTTATAATCCCATAATTTGGCAACTATGTATGGGAAAATTTGCTAAAAATATTGATGGGTATATTATTTGGGGACCATTTGGAAAATTCGTTAATGGATGTGCTGAATGGAATGAGACAAGATGTAATCTCTCTGTTGTGTATAGTCTTCCAGATCCAAAGAAAATAACTGACGGAGCTCCTATATTTCAACAAAAGACGGCTCTCTTGTGGTGGGGAGATGGTGGAATCGCTAACCCTGCTGTTGCAGCCGAAGAATACCCTCATCACCTTCAAAATCATATTTGGAAGATCCCAGCCGCTATGCAACCTGTAACCTTGTACAATGTTTCATATTCAGGGACTAGTCGATCTGTATCTACTACTTATAATTTTACTAGGTTTAAAATGTATAATATTACTGTTTGTGCACCTCTACCTTATGTCTTTTTAGTGGGAACTTTTAATTTTACACATTTTTCTTGTACTTGTTTAAATTGTCAATTGTTTACATGCTTAAATAGCACACTAAATTTCACTAAGCCTTATACAGTTATGCTGTTACAACAAAAAACTCATATTTGGTTGCCTGTAAATTTAACTCGACCTTGGTCTCAAGACCCGGTAATTTCTGTTACTACTGAATTTTTTAAACATCTGTTAAAACGTACAAAAAGATTTATTGGAATAGTGGTTGCTGTACTGTTAAGTCTGATAACTGTAGCCTCTCTAGCAGCAGTCTCAGGAGTAGCTTTACATACCTCTTTGCAAGAAAAACATGTTGTCGAATTATGGCATGAGAATTCTCATGAACTTTGGTTAACTCAGTGGCAAATAAACGCCAAACTACAACAACAAATAGACCTCCTTAAACAAACAGTTGAATGGATGGGTAGAAAAATATTGGCTCTTCAGCATCAAGTGTTTTTAAAATGTGATTGGAATTCAACTACTTTCTGTATAACCCAACGACCTTATAATCAGACAGAACATGAATGGAAAATGATTAGAATGTATTTAAATGGAAACACCTCTGCCCAGGAGGAAATAGAATCTTTACATAATCAAATTGACAAGGATTTTGCAAAGCAAAATGATGATGAATCTCTAGCACAATTCGCACAATTGCTTGCTCAATCTTTGAAAGGATTAGATTCCAAAGGAATCTGGCAGAGCATTACCCACACTTTTAGTGGCATGGGACTTAGTTTAATTATAGTTCTCATTGCCATAGTTCTTGTGTATTTTTACTGCATAAGACGAAATGCTATTAATAACCTGATCTTATGGAAATTATTGTTAAAAAATAAAAAGGAAGGAAGTGTGGGGGATGAGGTGTCACTTTGTAGGCCCAACCCCCTCTAACCTGCAATTTACAATAGCCGCCCTGGTATGCGAGAAGGAGGTAGAACGGGAATGCCTGTTCTCAGTGAGCCCTCACCCTCTGGAATCCATACTGTGAGCTGGCTTTGTTTTGCAGAAGTCTTGAGGAAGTGGCTGGCCACCCTTTGTGACACTAACAGCAGACAAATTAACAACATTCTTGAGCTAATGAATTTCTTCCTGGGCTAGAGAAGTTGTGAGAACTGGTTGTGATTATTTACTTCACTTAGATAGTTTTAGAATAAACATTGTAGTCTGTCACGTTGTAGCTTGCCACAAAGAATGCCTTTTCACTACTTAATTATCTGGGCTCTGTGAATTGATCGGGTTTACTATATATAAATCCTAAAATAAAGATTGTGCGTACAGTGCAGTGCAGTGCAGTGTAACGCGGTGCAGACAGCAAAGGTGTCTCTCCTGTCTTTCTTTTCCAAGCGCTGTACCCCCCGTGTCCCGACAAGGCGTGCGTGTTTACCTTGCCCGGAGTTCAGAGTGCTCTAGACACTCACGACAGATCCCAATGGTGTATCCATCCCCGATTATCAGACTTCAGGAGGCAGAGACAGGAAGACCCAGCACCACCCACTCCCCGGGCTGGAGGGGGAGACAGCTGCTGCCTGAGAACGAGGTCACACTCTGTCCCACATATCCAGGACGCGCCCCTCTGGACTGGCCACTCCTGGCCGCCTGGGCCTTTCTGACTCTGAGGACACACTTGGCTTGGCGTTGCTGCAGGATCTGACCACACCAAGTCAGGGCTCAGGGGGGAGGGGGAGGTTCCAAGAGGTCGGCATCTTGCCCGAGGGCAGAGCTGGGAAGTGGCAATCCAGCTCCAGATGTGCGGCCTCAGTTTCCCCAGCAGGGAACTGCGGTGGAGTGTTTCCTGGGGCTGGAGCTGATCAGCTGCCAGGCTCGAGGTCAGTCAGCAGCCCCTCTGGTGCGGCGTAGCCCAGTCCTCCCGCCCGCCTCCTTGGCCCGGGTCCTCTCCCATCTGTGTGTGAGGTCACCCAGCTAGAATCCGGGAGGAGGATGAGGTCATCGCGGGGCCGAGCCAGCCCTGCCTGCTCACCGCCTGTCCCCACCTCGCCGGTTTCCGGGAGGGCTGCAGCCGTGTCCAAACCCCTGTCCAGCAGGGTGTGGTGGCACACGCCTGCCAACCCGGCCAGTCAGGAGGCTGAGCCAGGAGGGTTCCTCGTGGCAGCCCATGGTGGGTAACCTGGTGCTTTATCAAGCCCCTGTGTCAAAATAAGAGCCAAGGGCGCTGGGGTGTAGCTCAGTGGCTGAACAGCGCTGAGCTGGCACGAAGCCCTGGGGTTCATCCTCTGTACCCCCAGAATAAACACAAAAGTGCAGCCGATCTGTGGCCACCCAGTGGGGCACAGTGGTTGCCTGTGTCCCAGCCTCCGGTCAGCAGAGTGGGTGCAGAGGCCCCCAGGGGCCTGTCCCACACTTTTTTTCTTTGCCACAGGGTCTCCGTGGCCCGGGAGCAGGGACCACAGACCCAGCCCTGTCCTGGGCCCTGGCAGGGGAAGCGATTTGCACAGCAGCGGCCTGGCCCGCCTCCTTACAGCCCCTGACCTCAGCTTCATGGAAGCTGTGCTACAGCCCTGGGGTCCCTTTGGATCACGTGTCACCCCGCCACCTGCTGTGCTTTCCAAATGCATGCTGGGAAACGTTAGCAGCACTCATCCCGAGAAGCAGAACCCAGCCTGAAAACTTTAGCCACTTAGACGCCATCACAAAGCAAAAACACAGAAAAGGGGACGGGACTCAGTGCGAAGACCTTGGGGTGGATCCCCAGTGCCACAAAAAACAAAAATCAAGCCTGGTGTGCGCAAAACTGGCCCCTGCTCTGGAATTCAGGGTGTCAGTGGCCTGAGGACATTAGGTGTCCTCCCCTGGTGAGGTCAACCGCAGCGGCCTTTCCCCTGTCCTCCGGGCACAGCGGCTCCCCCACCTGCAGCTCCGGGACACTGAACAGCCCGGCCTCGGGGGCCTCACCCGTACCCGGGAGGAAGACCGCCCGCTTGGCGGACACCACTAGCGGGGAATCCAGGGAGCAGATGCCCAGAACATCACGCCTGGACACCCCCAAGGGGTGACCTTGGCAGCCGGGGACACAGTGGCCTGGCCTGCTGTGTCGTTTTCTAAAGAAGCTGACCGTACAGATCTTTTATGTAAAATCTCCTGATGTATTTTAAACACGGGCAACTTGTTAAAATTAAAGAAAAGAAGAAACAGCTCAGCGAGGCAAAGCTCACCCAGATGAAACCCGCGAGCTTTGCAAAGTGGCTCCCCTGGCCCCCTTTCCCTCTAAGGGAACCGCAGCCGAGCCCCAGGCCCCAGGCAAAAGGTGGGGTCCGGGTCTCCCAGGCCTTCCTGCTGGGGGGCTCAGAGGATCCCCGCCCCCGCCCCGCCTGGTCCCCACGGGCTGCTGGCAGCCGCCGAGCACTGCGTGTTTTGAGCCAGGCACGCACAGTGCTCAGCAAACACGGCTGCTCCGCCGTCTGGCTCAGCCTGGGCTGCGCCAGATGGTCGCGGCCGCCTCCCCAGCTGAGCCAGGCCCTGGGGGACTCGGGCCGTGGGGGGAGCCGGGGCCAGCCTGCCGGGGTGGGGGGCTGCTGGGAAAGCCGGATCAGCGGGGCCTTGAGGATTTAGAACCCCCAGCCCCTCGGCCGCCGGCCTTCCTTGCTAATTGTTTTGAGACAGATGGCCTGGCCTGAACCCTTCCCTGGGCTGGGGCTGGGGCTGGGGCACCCGGGAGCCAGCCATGACCTTGACCCCCGCATTCTGTTAGAGGGCCCAGGTCCAGGCTGGGAGGTAGAGAGTGGGTGGCAGGGGAGCATCCTGTGCAGAAGGGAAGCCACAGGCTTTGGGGAGTGAAGGATCCGACCCCCAGGCCTCAAAAGCTGCAGGACTGGGAACTGACTCCTTTGGGACTGGTTTAGGGAGGTGGAGGGTGAGTCTGGGGTCACAGCAGGGTTCCTGCCTCCAGAGGTTTCAGGTTTGTGAAAGGAGATGAACATAAATTCACAAATGATTAATTTAAAAGGACCAGTAGGCAGAATACTAAAACCACAAAGGATTTCGAGGGGAATGGCAAGTGCAAAGGCCCTGAGGTTGGTGTCTGGTAGATTCTATAGACAAGCCAAGATGACAGCCTATCTGCTGCTCCAATGGACACCACACCGTGGGGGCCTCGGTTGTGACCCATGTCCCAGTGGTTAAACTCTGGCCCCTCCAAGGGACCAAAGAGAGTCCCCAATGTCACAAAGCTGATGGGCAAGAGGCTGGGGACAAGGCAGCTGGGCCCAGGACAGTATATGTAAACTTCAGAGTTGTGCCAATCGAAGCAAATGATGTCAGAAATCTGTGAGGCCAATGCTTTGTTAGGACCCTGGGCACACACGACACAAGACCCGGCACCGCTTGATATGAACGGAGGAGAAATTACTGAGCCCTAAAACCACAGACTTCAGAATAGCTGGAGCCAGGGTCTGGTGGGAGGAACCCCGGGGTCTCGGTCCCTCCTCCAGGCTCCACCCAGGATGGCAGGAGCACCCGGGAGCACTTAGTACCCAGGCCTGCAGTTCAGCAAACCCCCAGGGTCCTCTCCCCCAGTCCTTCCAGGAAAAGCAGCAGGGCTGACTCATTGGTCCCCTGCAGGTCACATGGCCACTCCGGGACCAATCACTGCATTGAGAGGGGGCGATTGCATTCTGCAGCTTGGTTACCCCTGGAATTGGGGGTGTGGAACCCCTTCTCTTCTCTTGGGCCTGAACTGGGTGGGATCTGGCTCCCCGGGGGAAAATCCGAGTGCAGGCTCCGGAAGAAGCAGGAACAGTCCTGGGGAGGGGCCAGAGTGGGCAGGGCCCCTGTGGAGCGGGGTGGCTCCTCCCCCTGCACCTCCCAAGAGGGCGGAGCGGTTGCAGAGGGGGGGGGGTTCTGAGGCTCAGAGGTCTAAATCTGGGCTCTCCTAACCCCAGGTGTGGGGCAGGGCGTGGCCCCCCTGGAGGACCAGGTTTCCTATGTGGGCATGGCCTGTTTGGCGGTGTGACATTCCTCCAGGCGTGGTCTGCCATAGCAGTGCATGGCCTATACAGAGGGCTCGGTGGCCTCACTGTCCAGGAGGGCGTGGTCTTTCAGGAGGCTGTGGGCTGCCTTGGCCTGGTTGCGCCTGGTCTGCTGGTGTACCTGGCACTGTGCCGTTATATGTGACCTGGAAGAGAGCAGTGGGTCACTGCACTGACCTGCCCCCCCCCCTGCAGTCCATCCTCCTGCTGTCCGCACCATCGCCAGTCTCTCCTCTTCGCCCCTCCTCCACTGGCTCATTTGACCCCGGGACCCCTTCCTCTAGCCATCCAAGTGCGATTAAGCCACACAACAACTTCTCTTCTTCCTCCTCCTCCTTTTCTTCTTCTTCTTCTTCTTCTTCTTCTTCTTCTTCTTCTTCTTCTTCTTCTTCTTCTTCTTCTTCTTCTCCTTCTTCTTCTTCTGTCTTTTTGAGACAGGGTCTCACCTTGCAGTTCATGCTGGCCTTGAGCTCACTTTGTAGTTCAGGCTGGTCTCAAATTTGCAACGATTCTCCTGCCTCAGACTCCTGAATGCTGGGATGACCGAAACCAAATTTCTGACTTATAAAGGCTCTAGGACTGTCCTCTAATATGAGCTTATATATATTTTAATCTGGCGTTAACGTGATTTAGAACAGAGCTTCGGTAGATGGCCTGAGGAAAATTAAAAGTCTCCATCACTGCGTGTCTGGCTGCAGGCCCCAGCCTGGCTGCCCCTCCAGGGTGGGAGCCCGGAACACGGCCTCGCTAAGTCAGGGTGTCTGCAAGCTAGCCACGCGGCGGTGCTTAATGAACGGTGGCATCTGCTAGGCCTTTAATTAACAAGCCCTGTCTCGGAGGTGGCAGGACACGTCCTCCGCTTTGGGAAGAAGATAAAGCGCAGCGGAGACTGCAGACGTGGGTGGGATGACTTTCCCGCCTCCTCTCAGAAATCAGAGGACAGAGCCTGCTGGTATCTGTCCCTCCCGGCCTGGCCCCCGCCGACCTGGAGGGCCCGGTGCTGAGTGAGGGCAGCTGGGCCTGGCTCTGCAGCGTCCAGGTCCATCATCGTGGGAGGACTCCGTGCATCCGCGTGCATCCCCTCCCGCAGATTCTCGCGTCCGGCCCCGTCCCTGTCCCCACACACGCCCTGGCTCCCTGCCCGCTGACCACATGCCACCGATGCAAGGCGGCGTGGGCAGATGGAGGGGCTGAGCCGCTGGCCAAGGACAAAGGCCAGCAGCAGCTGAGCCTCCGGCACGCGGCGTCACCCCATTTCAAGGCTGGGCGCAGGCTGGCAGAGAGCCAGGCTGCGGGCGGGGCAGAGGCCGGAGCTCCGGCTTGGCCTGCTCGGG